AGCATCAGGAGCTGGTTTCTAATGTGATTGTTGACATGCTCTGTTACAGTCTCTTCTGCCAACTTTGTAGCTCAAATGTCCTAGCTGATGTTGTCTTTAACAGCTGAAATCTTTTGGGTAGACTTCAAAATATTTATTATTTCAATTTTTGTTAAGGGAGTAGTTTGTCCTTTTGAATTTAGCTATAAAGGAGGGTCTGAGTGTCCACTGCCTGGCCCCTTTATGTAGTTTTTTACACATGTGAAATGCTGTCACCTGTGTAAGTGTGGGTGTGTTTGTAATCTTGATTTAATAACATTTAAAAACCATCATGCACTCTCTCTCTTAGCAGGTGAAAATGACTATACAAGGTGCATGGCAGTAGAGAATCAAGCCTCTAATGTGTGAATAGATGTGTAATGTCCATAAATAGGGCTTTTGTTTGTTCACAGTAACACTGAAAATATGCAGGGCCTTTTCCTTTGCTTGCATCCAAAGAAACTGAAAAGGGATTTACTGATTGCTGTTCCTCAAACATAGTATCATTCTGTTGGGGTGCATTGTTTTTTCCCTGAATATTATTTTTATCCATAAAAAAATTCTTCTGGAAGTTGGAGTGGGACACTTGAAATTAGTATGGTTTGTGTTTTACGTTTTTCCTTAGTGTCACCAGCAATCCAGGAATGTTTCCCCAAGACAAAGGCATGGAGAGAGCTATGTGTATCGAAGCTAATTTACAAGTACATAGAGTACTTTGAGCGTCTCTAGCTGCTGAGAGTTTACTTTCTATTCACTAGCAGTGTGGAAAAAAATCATGCTTTGCTCACTCTATCATCTGTTAACCCTATGTTGTGTAATGATACCGGTAAAACGTTGTTCATGCTTTTGAAAAAGAAAAGAAACTTTAAAATTTTTCTGAATGAGAAATAGTTGTTAAAAACTGCCAGGCAAAGACTATTAAATGTTAGCTCATGTGTTGAACGCTCCTTGTTTGCAAATGGATTGCATTCTCTCTCATCCCCTCTAGCCATATTTATCACAGGCTGTTTTTTATTACAATTGTTTCTCCAGAGAACTCCACAGATGCTGCTTTTTAAAATTTCATTTGCGTAAGAAAGAGAATTGATTTACATTGTGCAACCAAGCATTGGTATTAATGATTGATGGGGTTAAGAGCTGATGGTAACATCTCTGCTGACTTGCTTTTTGGCAAAAGCATGCATCCCTGATGGGTTAGTATTATGCAGCAAAGCTGGGTAATGATAAATACAGCAATAATTAGGCTCATAGCAGTGCCTCCTTACCTACACTTGCCTTTCATTAATAATTTTTATACGCAAATTTTATAAAATGAATTGTGATATAGCCATCCATAGAATAGGGATAATATGAATGCTAGCAATAAAAGGGTTTCCATGCTGCCTAACTGACATGGTCAACCTTGACCTGGAGAGGTCAGCTCTGTGAGAGGATAGTTTAGTCAATTCTTTAACAAGCGTGACTACCTAACAATGCACCAGGAGTTGTAGTGGACCAAATCCTGATCTCAGTTATACCAGTATAGCTGAGATCAAGATTTGATCCAGTGGGTTTAATGATGTGGTTGCATGACCAGAACTGGACTGATACCAACTTAATTCATACACAGAGGAACTGTCACATGGTAATTACTTCTGATCACTGTTGACTTGGTCCAGAATCAAACCAGCACCATATATGTGCAAGATTCTGTATTATGATCTATATATTTTTAACCAAAGCTTTTATCTAATACATTCTAAGATTATTCAAGACATAAAATATTTCTTCCAACACTATCAGTCTTAATTTCCTAATTTCTTTAAATAGAACATGAATCCATCTTCATCCATGCTATCCAGAGACTAGAAGTAGGTAAAATGGCCAATGTTTCCTTGCACTCACTCTGTGCAGGTGTAAATGATGTTTTCTTCATCTCTTCTGACACTTTACAAACAGGGGTGACTGTTCTATAAAATTAATGGCCATTTGTTCTAAAAATCTAGTTGAGCTAATTTTTTAAAAATTAAACTTTCAGAGTGGGCCATGTTCTTTTACATACATTGTTGCTGACTTGGTGGCCTGGGGTCTGTACCATTAAGTCAGTTTCCAGCTTGACAAATGCCCATACTGCTTCTGCTCCTCTGCTGTCAATGATGTCCTGCAAGATTTTAATGGCTTTTCTTCCTTCCTTCTAAGCAAACATTATGAAAATTCTTGGCAAACCAGCAGCAGCCCTCGTTAAGTCTGTACTGCTCTTTGAAAGTTTACATAGAAGCATATTAGCAGCTGTAAGAGCAGTTATGGTAGGGAGAAAGATTTTTAGAGTTTTATATGAACTGAAAGTTGGGAAAACCTTGTCAAGGATACTCCCATGACTGCAAAAACTGGTTCATTTTTATATGCAGTTTTTTAATCTTGGGCTGTAGGAATCCCCACAGCTTTTCATCAGTTTGAGGGCATTATGAAAGAAAAAGCAGATGGTTTTCGTTTGCACAGGTACATCTAGTATAACCGTGTAGGTTGGGACTGAGCCTGAGTTGTTGCAAAAACGTCACTGAAGGCATTTTCCAAAGGTAGTAAATAGCATTTAAAGAGGAACAGCTGCAGTGTTTTATAAAATTAGTGGCTAATTGCTCTAAAAATCTATTTGAGCTAATTTTTTAAAAATGGTTTAAAATCTTGTGAGGCTGAAGGCATATAGACACTTGGCCCTCAATCTCTTTACCTCACACCATATCAAAATCAGACATAATTTCGGTGTTGATCACCTCCTTTGTCGTTGTCACTGGAGAACTAGCATTGTGCGACTTCCAAACTCACAGCGTACTTCACTAACAACCATACAGCAAAATCTCATAACTCATATACACTAACAATATACATATTTGGACAGAACAGTGGGTTTCAGCAGATCAGGATCTTTCACGTGATATTTTATATGGCATGGTTTGTATGAAATATATAATAATTATATGACATGGGTGAATATGGGGTTTCCAGGATGCTGCTTCGAGGTACTTCCCCTTTATTAGCCAAAAATCTTTAAATACAATCTCTCCTCTTAAATTATACTACCCCATTTTGTATTTCATTGCTTTTTCATTAGCTCTGTCCTCTTTTATTTGTGTGTCTTCACCTCCCCAGGATTTTGTATGTTTATTTTTTCCCTCCACACCTTTTATTTCAGACACACATAGACAGTCTGGGACCTTGGTTCTTTCATGTAATAAGATCTCCTATACATAGTAACAAGAGATTTTCCCCAACCAGCCACTTTATAAAAAGGAAAGACACAAAGAGGAAACAATGGCCTCCCAGCGGAGAAAGACAGCCACTTACATTGTATGAATGGTATTTTAGCATTCCTCTTACCAGATAGCTAACAACCCTTCACCCTCATAGTCATAGTACGTTCCCCTCTCTGGCACAGAGAATGGAAGATCAAGCTTGGCCCTTAATTCTCCTGGTCTGCCACTAGCCTGATGCTCGAGTGTCTGTCCTCCTCCATTTGTATGCTTCATCCCTGTTCCATCAGCCAGTTGTATATTTCTGTTCCCCTTTCTCCATTCCTGTTTATCTGCCTCATCCTCATTTCCATGTCTTTCCTCCCCTTCTTTGTCTCTTGTGTGGTCCCTCAGGATTGCTGCTCTTTCCCTAGAGGGGCCCACAAGAGAAACAGCAAAGTGAAACTCACGTAAGCCTTGTTAGTTTCATCCTTCTTTTCCTGCTGGGTCACAAGGATGGGAAGGATGTGTGAAGAATCACCACAAACATGGTGATCCTCTGGTACTTCAGAAAGAGGAGCTGTTGCTGGTAATGCTGGGGAAGTGCTATGTGCAGCTCCAAATACATCAGTGGAACTCCCATGCTGGATTCTCTTGCCGGGGAATCTTTAAATGGGAAGGCGAGGCTGCATGGGAAGCTACAGATGCCTGCAACCCAGGTGGAATCAACACCACTTTCTTAGGAAGTGTTTCCAGACAATGCTGCTTGCTTTTGATTTATTTATTAATATTAAGGGTTTTTAAGAGGAATTTTCCAACTTAGCCTATGGGCAGTTTACTCTGGGCTCCTTGCACATTCCTTTAAGCCACAATTAATTAACTAAATTGACACCACGCTGCTAAGACAGTTATTGCAAGAGACAGTTATTCTGATTGTTGGACTAATTGCTAGTCAGGGTTTCTGGATGACATTCCCTTCACAATAAGGCTGCTAATTAATCTTGCTGCAGTTCTCACAGAAAGAAATGCTGATAAGCATATCACCAATTAACATAAGAAAGAAAATGTCAAGAGCCCTGTTGTGTTTTAGGGAACCCCCTCCCGGTAAGATGAATATCACTATTAAATATGGAGACAGACTAACTACTAAGTATGAAAGCCAATGTGCCATGACACAGCACCAAAACTACACAGACTATTCATTTAGGAACCTGCATATTGAATGTCTGTTCACTCTTGTTTAATAACAATAACATTGACCGTTAGAAGTTCTGTGTACAACTGAAAGATCAAGTAATATGGGGCAGGGACATTGCAAGGATCCTGCATGTTTGATAAATAATTTCTCCCAGAAAATTATTCATAAGAGTGTTATTATTCATAGAGTGTATAGGTGAAGTAGCTTAAACACATTAAAGACATGGGGACATGTCCTCAGCTGGCCCATAAAAGCTGGCCCACAATCCCCACTCAGAAGACCTTATAATTTAATTCAGACAGACCAACAAGTACACCAAGGAACAATTCAATCACAAAGGGAAGTTGGAAGAGACAGGGGTAGCTGCTACTGCCAGTTGGTGGAGACTTTCAGCAGTGGATCTGGCCCATCCAGGGGAACATTGGTGGCATCTCTGGATGCATGCAGGAGACACTGCCAGTGTCCTTGCTCTGGGTGCCGTGAGAGCTGGCCCCTGGAGGACATGTGCTTAGGTGAAAGAAGTGTTGCTTTTAACTTGCGAAGCCTCATGATTCTTTTTTCCTCTCCTGTGCTTACAGGTCAGAAAATTCTTCACCACAGAAGTGATGTCTTAGAAACAGTAGTCCTGATTAACCCTTCAGATGAAGCAGTTAGTACTGAGGTAAGTCAGCTGGAAATGTCTTATTGGATGCATCATAAAAGCACCATAAGTGAATAAGGGGAAACGGTATTCTGACTGTGCATAAATGAACATGTGGGAGTGAATGTCAGTAAAAGTGTCAGCCTTCTCTTATCTCTTCCTCTTGTTTCCCCTTCCCATAATAGGATTTTAAAGACATAGAACAGAAATACTCATATCTCCGTTCTCAGCATTACATTTCCAATAATCCACTAAAATCTGGTTTTGATCAAGTGGAGGCAACTGCGATGAGAGCTCTTGGACTGTTGCTCCCGCACCTCTCCCTGGCTTGTGTTCTGCATGTCTATTTTAAACTTGATATAAACCAGGTCATCTGAGACAGTTTTAGACCTTTTGAGAAGGATTAACATGTATATAACATCTTTCCTCCAAGAAATCACATGCCATGATCAACAGAGTTGGAGGCTATCACAGAACAAGAGATCTCCAAGTCCTGCGTATTCTTTAGAAGAGGGTCAAAGCACCAACCATATATCTCAAGACACCTCTTAGAGAGGCAAAGCAGCATTCCATCCAGGAAGTTGTGGCAGATAAAAATAGGCATACCTATGCAGTTAACAAATAATTTTCAGTGTGAATATGGAGGATCCCCTCTGAACATATTAGATGTATAAAACCCTCAAATGGGTATTTTGTTGCCAGGGATGTAGTTTTAATTGCTGTACACTAGCAAAGAACAGATTCTTACTAACATTAAACAACCATAACTAAAAGGAGGCTATACTAATCAGAATGTTTAAACCATTAAACATCAAGTAAGTCATCTTTATTATAATTTCTCTTATTTCGTCTCTGTTGTTATAGAATCTCTTAAATTGCATCCAAATTATTTAATGAGAAAAGAGAGAATCAGTTCAGGTGGCAGCTCTTAGGTTCTGCTGTTAAAGTCTGATCCCCTTTCTTCTTATAAAGGAAGAGAAACATCACAAAGGGAGAGAGGCAAGAATGGCAAAAGGTAGGAAAATGCAGCTTCTGTCTCTGAGGCTGGTAGTTCAATTGATGGAAGACCGTAGGAAAAGCAGTTGGCATGCAGGCCAGTTAGTGACTCCTGCACCCTGGCTTTACTTCCCTGGCTCTGGAAAATGTTTGGGTAGGTTACTCTTAATTTCCTCTCACCAGTCGGGGGGAGGGGTTGTTGTTTGTTTTTTCCTGACATTTGGCTGATCTTCAATGCTTTCATTCTGCCAAACTGATAACAGCCAAAAGTTACAAGGTTAATTTTATCTTGGCTAGCTAAGCCAGACTCTCATTAGGCAAAAGTCAAAATGAGAATTAAGAAAGAGGAAGGAGGAAAAAAGTAGTAGAAATAGCCATCTCACCCCACCATATGGCAATCAGGAACATTAGGTTCATATCACAGGAGTAGCTTAGGACACAGCCAGGGAGGCGATGATGTCATTTGGTTCCATCTCCTTGTCTAGTCAGGACGGAATATCTGACAGAGTGGGAAAGAAGAAGGCTCATGGTGTGATTGTAAATCCTTGGGACCTGCCCTGTGATAAAGATGATCGTATTAGTGATGCAGGTTGATGCACTGAGCATGATGCTGCCTAAGGATCAGTAAGCTGCAAATACTCCCTAGGAAAGAAGTCCAAAACAGGCAATATTCTTGTCCCATCAAAACTGCCCAAACAAAATACATTTCCTATAGTCTGTACATGGACAGTTTCTCTCATTTTAAGAAGATTCTGCTGTGTTGCTATAACAATTTTATAACTTTACCACATCTGGAAAACTTCTAATCAGCTGTTTCTTTGGGCCACACAGACTCATTAAACACCATATATTTGACTTAATTCTGGGCTTTCTTTCAACAACATGTTTATAAACTTAAGTGACCATCCTACTTTGAACAATATAGGGCTTCAATCAAGGCTAGGGTTGAACATAACATATCTCTGTCTATTTTATACCACCTTATTACAATTTATTTTAAAAGTAGTGGTCTAATATCAATGCACAGAATTCTGGTAGTCCCCCATTAGGCCATCATTATACTCTTTTTATCTCTGTCTCTTATTTTTTTCCATGCATGTTATGTATTATGTTCTAAAAACTGCAAGTATTTTTTTTTGCTTCTGCCATAGTTCTTTATCTCTGTAGAAACTCTTTAATCATCAGTTAATAAACGAAATTGAGGGGAATTATATGACAGTCGTGTATTGGTGGTTCATGAGACAGGAAGTAATTTTGTGGCTGAAAAAGCTGGTGGTTTTATACATAAGCTGGCTGACTGCCCAGAACTGCCCCTGCAAAGAGGAAAAAAAATTAAGAAGGGAAGCCAGTTCTTTAATGGATTTTAATACAGCTAAAACAGATGAGACTTGAGTGACGTACATCAGCCAGCCAGGTGCACTTATCAATGTTCTTTTCTGAAACAGAAATCCTTGACCCACCAAGGATATTGTTGGATTTTGTCATCCAGCACAATTAGTGACAAGCCCGTATTAGGCCAGCTTTTAATTATGGGGTCCTTCTGCTATTCAAACTTCAGGGCCACTTCTTTAGTAAGATCAAAATGGAGGTCTTCCTAATCCATACTCTTCAGTGGCCCTTTTCATCTCATTCTAAAAACAGAGTTGTTGAACAGAGATTTAGGTCAATACTGCATCCTTCTTGGCATGAGATGGAGTAATTTAAGGCGATTGATTAACAATCAATACATAAAGTTATAAAACTGGCTTGCTGGGAGTGCTGAGAGATGCTGTTTTGTGGCTTAGAAATATTTCGCAAAAAATGTATTCAAGAATACAGTTCTTTACACAAAACTCAGTTGAATTCCAGTTGTATTTAGCCAGCAGACATCCCTCTAGATCTACAAGCTTTATTTTGACAAAAGGCTGTCAAATATTACAAGCAGTGACAGAGCAGTGGTAAAACTTGGGAATTATCAGCTGTAGTGAAGGCTGTTTTGAAATGCAAAGTTTTTCCTCCCCCTGCCTTGAAGAGATAGTGTTATCTATTACAAGCATAGTAAGAACAACATCTTTCAATAGAGTGCTTTGGATTGGTAAGATCCCCTCAATCACTCCATTCTCTGTTCCCAAAAGGTCAGCTGGGTGGACTCTCCCCTCCAGGAGATTTGACCCCCAGTCTTCCCTTAAAACCTGATCCACAGATGAGGGGTCTGGCATTTCGCATGCAGATCCTTCATCCTCCTCCTGGGGAAATGCCTTCCTACAAAAGGTGAGCAGACCCTCGTGTCCCCCCTCACCTTCCATCTGGACTTCTCTCTCTGGATTCCCCCCTAGCGCAGACAGCCCTGTGTCCTCCAAAAGGGAAGGTGACCCTGATCCAGCTGTGGGCTCACAGCTACCAGCTGTGACAGACCCTTCACTGGCCAGCAAAATCTGCCCCCTTTCACTCAGGTTGGGCATGCTTCCAGCTACAGAGCCCTTGGGGTCTGTTCCTATCGCAGCGGTCGTCAGGACCCCAACTTCCATCTCCAGGATACATGTCCCTTTGCATCCTAGGGCAGGGCCTGTCCCCTGCTGAACTGCAACTTCCTGGCAGTCAGCAGCTGGGATGGTCTCCCCATTACAAGATGGAACATCCTCCTCCCCCAGAGAGATGATGACAGGACAGGAGCTGGCTGTATCCACCCCCTCCCACAGGGACCTGCCTTGAGCCCTGGGGTTACAGGAACTGGTCTCAACCATCCCTGCCCTCAACAGCCCATTTTTCCACTGCTACAGGGGAATTAAAGAGACACTCTCCTATTTCCCCAGCAGCACCTGTGACTTCACCCTCCCATCTGGGGCTTTCAGCACAAGATTCCTTCTTGCTGCTAACAAACACTGGGACAGGTTCTGCCACATCAGAAAAGTCATTCCCCAGTAGAAACAGTACAAAATTGTGTGCCTCTGCTGTGACAAGTCAGTTCAGCCTGCAAATCACCAGTTTACATATGTACCTTAGCTAAAGGGGCAAGGACCTTATAACCTCCCAACAATTCTAATTCTGTCATTTTTCCTGTTAACAAATCCTTCTCATGGTTCAGGTCCCTCCTGACCACATCTCTGCACTAGTATCCCTCCAACCTTGGACCACTTTGTCATTAAGCTTAATAGCGTTCATATGCTCACTGCTTGGTTGTGTAGAAGCAACCTTTACAAATCCTGTGTGGTAAGAGACAATAGTCTGGAATGCCCCTGTGCTCTGAGAAGCAGCAGTTCCATGTGTTACTGGCTGCCTGTTCCCACTCAGCCCAGGACATTTATTCCTCAGGTACTCAGTGGAATTACAATGATAGCACCTTCTGGGCTCCTCTGCTTATACAGGAGACTTGGGACGAGTAACAGGGGAATTGGGAGGTGAACGTCCAGCCTCCTTTTTCCCCAGGGGTAAAACAGTGATTCTGCTTTCCACCAACCCTGTACCCCTCTGCCAGTGGTTTATGTTTAATTGCAGCTTGTGATTGCTCATAAGAGTCTGCAAAACAAGCTAACTCACTCACCGCATCCACCTTTTTGTCCCACAAATATTGTTTTACATCATCACTGCACATATTCAGGAACTGCTCCTGAGCAACCAAATCACACATTTCTTCAAAGTTTGTAATGCCTTTTCCCCTCATCCACTTGTCTAACAAATCCCTTGTTTTATTTATATAAGCCACATTACTTAATCCAGTTCCCCTTGTAAGGCTCCTGAATTTAACCCTGTAGGTTGTAGGTGTAATCTGAAACTGTTTCAAAACCAGTTCCTTAAATATACCATAGTTTGAAGCATAAGCAATAGGCATCTTATTGCATATGTCCAGAGCTCTCCCCGTCAATTTTGCAACCAAAGTAGTCATCTTTTGATCCTCAGGAATCGCATGGAGAGTGCACAGTCTCTCAAAGGTGAGGAAATATTCGGCAATATTACTGGATTCATCACAGAGCAGGCATAACCATTCCCATTTGTGGATTTTTGGGGGAAGTGGAGCCAGCTGCTGAAGGGTTCTGCCTTTTCTACTCCATTACAACCAGTTCATGCTTCTGGGTCTCAATTTTTGCTCAACTCTGGGCCTCAATTCCTTTGTCTTTTAAGTCCAGGGTTTGCTGGTGGGCAGCCTTTTCTTTGTCAGCCTCCAGCTGCCTGAGTTCCAGGGCAGTTTTTGTGCTTCAATTTGAGCCTGCTTCTGGGTCTCAAGTTCTTTTATTTTAACTCCGTGGCTCTTTCATGAGCAGCTTTCTCCCTGGCAATTTGCACATCAATTTCCATTTGTCTTAATTCCATCTGCCTTTTGTGTTCATATTCCTTCTCAACAGTCTTCACCTTGTGTAGTTCTAGCTTCTTCTGAGCTTCACTCACTCATTTTGCTTACTTTTCTGTCCCTATTTCCCTTACCCACAGTAAGCCAACAGAAAATACCAAACCAATAACCACTTTGTCTGTTCTACAGCCACCACTCCCTTAAAATCATTTCCAGAGTCTCAAAGCAAACAGCTGTGCACATATCCTGCCAACTACATCACTGTGATGAGTATGGTCACAGAGACCCCCTTGGGACTGTCACCTGATGTGCTGAAATTATCTCTAAGCCTGTTTTCCCTGCCAGCTTGGGACTTCAGGAACCTTGTCTTGTTGAGCCAGACACGTTAGCCTGCTGCAACACAGACCCAGGGTCTGGTCTACGGCCCCCAAAGCTACAGGCTTAACTGAAAACAGCTCAGCAGGTTACCTGTCTCCAGCACCCAGACACTCAGTTCCCAATGGGATCCAAACCCCAAATAAATCCGTTTTACTCTGTATAAAGCTTATACAGGGTAAATTCATAAATTGTCCGCCCTCTATAACACTGATAGAGAGATATGCATAGCTGTTTGCTCCCCCAGGTATTAATCACTTACTCTGGAGTTATTAATAAACAAAAGTGATTTTATTAAGTATAAAAAGTAGGATTTAAGAGGTTTCAAGTAATAACAGACAGAACAAAGTAAGTCACCAAGCAAAATAAAGCAAAAACATGCAAGTCTAAGCCTAGTACATTAATAAACTGATTACAGGTAATAGCTCACTCTCAGAGATGTCCAATAAGCTTCTTTCACAGACTAGACTCCTTCCTAGTCTGAGCCCAGTCCTTTCCCCAGTACAGTCCTTGTTAGTTCCAGCAGACATCTCAGGTGGTAAGCAGGGATTTTTTCATGACTGGCAGCCCCATTTGTCGTGCTCCACCCCCTTTTATAGCTTTGGCGCAAGGCAGGAATCTTTTGTCTATGCTTGTCCTCACCCCCACCTCATCAATGGAAAAGTACAAGGATGAAGATGGATTCCAGTATCATGTGACATGGTCACATGTCACTGTAAGACCCCCTAGTCTCCATTCTTCCTGGGTTGGCCCACGGGTATAGAGGAAGGCTTGCAGGTAAATAAACCATTTACAACCAATGGACCTAGTCAATGGGAGCCATCAAGATTCTACACCACCATTAATGGCCCACACTTTGCATAATTACAATAAGACCTCAGAGTCTTCATATTTCTAGCTTCAGATACAAGAATGATACATGCATACAAATGGGAGGAATATATTCAGTAGTTTATAACCTTTGTTATGATACCTTACAAGAGACCTTTTGCATAAAGCATATTCCAGTTGCATCATATTCACGCTCATAAGCATATTTCCATAAAATATATGGAGTGCAACGTCACAGGGTAGAAACCCAGTAATGGGTGGGTGGGTTTGAAATTAGGCAAAGCAGGGTTTGGACAGAAGAGGAAGGTTGGAAATGTGGTAACTGCATTTAATTTTTGTGCTTTTGTTCTTCACCTTAGGTGCGCTTAATGATCACAGATGCTGCAAGACACAAGCTTCTTGTACTAACTGGCCAGTGCTTTGAAAACACAGGAGAGCTCATTCTCCAATCAGGATCTTTCTCGTTCCAGAACTTCATTGAGATCTTCACTGATCAAGAGGTTTGTCCTTAACAAAATGTCTTTCATTACGTTTTAGTGTGATGACATATTTTTAGATGCATTGACAATGGCAACCTTGATATACTTGAAACTAGCATTGATGCCTCAGGGTTGGTGTCCTTTGGCCCTCTTTACACAATTTTCTTCAAAATGTCTATTTCATTACTTTAGTTTTGATGTAACAACAAAATTAAATTTTAATTTGGCAAATTGCAATAATAACTTTATGAAATAGAAAAAAGGGGAGTATTATTATTCAGTGTACTTTTACAAGGCAACCCAATTAAGTTTGACACCTTGTTTACATCAGTTCTTGCCTGATAGCAACTACCTGGTAGATAACATTAAATAAGACACACAGCAGTCTGTAGGATTAACAGTTGATATGTTCACCACATATCGTTTTGTTTTGCTGCACAGTATTTAAAATTTGGTCTGAGAAATCTGTAAAGTGAGTGTCTATTATATACCAAAAATTATAAGCAGCTACCCAGTAAATACACCAGTATTTAATTCTGTTTGTAATCATTACTCTGTCTTGTTTAATACACTGTGTCATCAAGCTCCCATAGGGCACAGGAACCCATGGTAAATAAGCTGTCAGACTTAATTTGACTGTTCTGTAAAAGTATATGTTTAAATGAACAATAAAATCTCATTACTGGAATTTTATTTTTCAACATTAACTAGGAGTATTTCAGAAGAGTGAGATTTGGAATTCCAGCCCTCAAAACATATAGCTTAGCTATGTCTCTCAGTAAGAGCTAGTCTAGTTTGGCTCTCAGTTTCAGGGGTGCGTTGACTTCAGAGGGAGCTGCGCTGTACCATCAAGGGAAGGACAGGTTCATAATATCTGAAACCAAATGTGACGTCTAAAAATTAGCATCATGTACAAGTGTGTGACAAGATATAAGCCACAATGTACTGCCTCCCTGGCTGATTAATAAAACAATGTAATTTTAAAAATCCACACAAAATTAGGGCCAAATCCTATCCTTACTTGTAGAAAACCAAACTGTGGGAAGGGAAATGGAGTAGTTAGCTTGGCTGTTAGTTACAGGTGCTGTGAGAATGGTTCGTGGTGGCAGACACACTGGATAGTGGGGCACACTCTGTTGCCCTTTTAAAAAGGAGCAGTGTGCACTCCTGGATAATGGCAGTATACATACTAGCTGGTAGGGGCCTGGCCATGCGCCTTAAATGGGAGACAGCTCCTTTTAGGGGTTGTGATACACCCGTTGGCATAGTTACTCTAGAGGGGAAGAGGAATCCTATGCCACCTTGCTCCCTTAATACAGCACAGGATAAGATCTGACGTTTACTTTGGGAGATTGAAGGTTTCTTTCTCTATGTTTTGGCCATTTGGCCATTGGTCTAAGACTGTCTTCAAGTAATCTATTTTCAGTTGAGTAAATAAGTCATTCCTTGCAGGTGGGGAAATCTGCTGCTGAATCCAATTCAGAAATCCAGATCTTTCCACAGGCAATGCCTGCCATATGATTTTCAACTTCTCCCTTACCAGATCGCTGTAGACATCCAATTCCAGTGTCCTAACAGCAGCTCTTCACAATTTGAAATCATTATTTTACATTGGCTGCCCCACGTATCTGATTCACTCTCCCTCTGAGCAACCAAGTCACTGCAAAAAATGAGAAATCCACACTGATTCATTTTAACAAATCTATCTCTTTGTGAACAAACAGTGTTTTCAAAAACAGATATCTTTCCTTGGTATCAAGGAATCTTTCCTTGGATCTAAAAAGATAATAGGAAGTTACACCTTGGCAACATCTGAGACAGTGGGGTTGCATGGGAGTAGTTGTGAACAGAATTTGGTCCAACATCTCTAGACAGAAACTGTGGGCCAAATTCTGCTTTCATGGGCACCAGTATAACGCCACTGAAGTTCATAGGTATGCATTTGTGTAACTGAGAGGAGAGCTCTGAAAACATAGCAATGAAATTAAAAAATGGGTGAAACTACCTATGCTCTTCATTAGCAAAGCTGAAATTCTTCAAGTAATATAGCCCCCAGACTCTCTACACTACATGCATGTTCCTTCTAAAGTTCTCAGTCTAATTTTTTCACAATTTATTTAATGTGGCTAAAAGAACTCAAGCGTTTCCCACTAGATAATTAAAGAGGTCTCGGTAAAATGACAGACTAAGTCTATCTGATCTTCTGTTTTACTGTGTAGCCTACCATTTGAGAGACATGGTCAGGTGGATTCCTAACATGTAACATACTTACTGGTACAATCCACTAGAGCTGTCAAGTAAGGAGGGTCAAACTTTACCTTTCTTTTCTACCCAAACTACTTTCTTTTCAAACTCACCTGTCCCTCTCAAAAGGAACCCTGCATAAGAACGGCCATACTTGGTCAGACCAAAGATCCATCTAGCCCAGTATCCTGTCTTCTGACAGTGGCCAGTGCCAGGTGCACCAGAGGGAATGAACAGAACAGGTAATCATCAAAGGATCCATTCCCTGTCGCCCATTCTGGTAAACAAAGGCTAGGGACACCATCCCTGCCCATCCTGGCTAATAGCCATTGATGGACCTATCCTCCATGAATTTATCTAGTTTTTCTGAACCCTGTTATAGTCTTGGCCTTCACAACATCCTCTGGCAAAGAGTTTCCTCTAGCCAATTTTCTTCTTTGAAACAACTTATCCCTGGTGAGTAGGAAAAGAAACTTCAGAAGCAACCTTTGGGAGCAATAGAATATTAAAATATTATTGGATCTTCAGAGGATGGTTCCATTATACCAGTGCTGCCCAAACTTTTCTTGTTCACCCCATCCCCTTACCAGTAATGGAAACTTCCATGCTCCCCTCCATAACTTCACAGTTGGCCCAGCAGAGGAGTTTGGGCTGAAGGTGGAGGTGGGAGCAGAACTGGGGATGGGGGAAGAGCTGGAGCTTGAAGTGGAGCTGGCCTGGAGGCGGAGAGGGAATAAGGGCAGAGCTGGGCTGTGGGTGGAGCAGGGGGCAGAGCGGGGCTGGGAGCAGAGATGGGGGCCAGGAGCAGAGCCGTGGCTGTGGCTGAGGCTGGGGGCAGGGCTGGAGCACAGCCTGGGTCCAGAGTGGAGCTGGGGACATAGTGGTGCTGGGTGGTGCTCCCCGCTCACTTTCCCCCTCCCCCCTATGGGGGCTGGCCTGAACAGCACCATGCCTCCTCAAATGTTCTTTCATGCCCTACAGTTTGGGGACCACTGCATTATACCACTTCAAATGTAGATCTAGTCTCCAAGATTCATGTACCCAATTTAACCTTAAAATCAGCTCTTCCATCAAAGCCATTTTTCAGTGTATTCCTGAACTTGCTCCTCCACTCTGAAGGAATTTGTGTCTAAAACTGCTGTTCACCCACTTTTTCACTGGTCAGCCCTACCAGTGGCTTAATGTGATCACATACTTATCCCTCTCATCATTGTAAAACAAAATCTTGAATGACTTATTATCTTCCAGACTGCAGACGGTCAACATCACTAATTCAGTGACCACTCACCCACCTTCTTCCCATACAATCTTTGATCTTGCCAGAAAATTTTCCCTACATGGGAAACCATCATCTGCATCCAAATCAGAGGCACTGAATTATCACTATCCCTCCATCAAACTTTGTCTCATTGATCTGAATGAAGAGCACTTCATGTCACTTTATCTTCCCATAATAATGTGTGTTCTATAGACTGAATCTTACCCCTCAGCAGAAGCCCAGCACAAGGAGTTAGGCACCATCTGTATCCCACTCAGATGCGCTTAATTTTACTGCTGCAGTTTGCCTGTCCTCACCTCCTCTCTCTCCACTCTACCCCTTCCATCCTTTCTCTGTGATTGCCATTAATATGACTCTCCCATTTTCCTCCTTTTACTCTTTCCTCCCTCCCTTTTGTCCTGTCTTTGTTCTCTTCCAAACAAAGCTATGTCTGATGTTTGGATAAGATTTATTTATACTCTTATATAAGTTGGTTTATATACTTAGTAAGGATGACTTGTGAACATAAAACAGCTGTTCTGAGATTTTATTCCTTTTCTGCTTTTATTCGTTACTCACCCATACACATTGGGTAGATTATTTTTGTGTGGATAACATCCACCATCTCATTCTGTGTTTCTGTTGAATTTTACTTTCACTAAATTCTAAAAATAAATTCCATAACAACAAAAATAGGAGAGCAAGAAACACACAGATCTTCAGAGTTCCACTGAAATGAAACATCTCCTAGACACACAACATTAATTATTATAGTACTCTCTATTCCTCTTGGTAATCCAGTTTATGGTCCAAAATTTTCAGTTTGTTCAGCTCTAGTCTAGTCTAAATCATCTTTATAAAAGTCTTTCTTGTAGATATAAATTACAATTGACTATTCCTGAAAAGTATTTTGTAATACTTTGCAAGATGGTGAATATGCTTCAGTTACATTTGCAGCGTTATTGTAGCCATGTTGGTCCCAGGATACATGAGAGACAAGGTGAGTGAGGCAATATCTTTTATTGGTGGAAGAGACGAGCTTTTGAGCTCAACAGAGAAAAAGAGCTCTCTGGAAATCAAGAACTTGTCTCTTCTACCAACATAAACTGCTCCAATAAAAGACATTATCTCACCCACCTTGTCTCTCTCACAAATTACATTGACATTTGGTCTCCATATTCAGTTATTTGACTGAATTATTAAAAAAAAAAAAGATGCTTGAACAGTTTTGTAATATCTTTGTCATGAGCTAGTTGAAGTCTCCTGCATATACTTTATTTACAATAAAACAAATGGAAACTCTGTATGCAGTGGGGATTACCCTGTGACTGGGATTTAAGTCTGGAGGCCACACTGGGTTTGTAAAAACCATTCTTGATGATAAGGGGCTGATGTAATTCAGTCAGGTTCATGTAACTCATTGATCCTAGCGGGCAGGAGTTTGTGAACTGCCAGTGCAGAATACTAAGTACAAGGTTATTCAGGAGTTCTGAATCCCCCTTCTCGTCTGGTTACAGAGACAGTACTGGGTCCAGTAACATTTTATTGCTGTTCTCCCAACAGGCCCCCAATGGCAGCAAAGGAGAGACTTGCAGCACCCTGTCACCATTTAGCTGGCGTTTCTAGCCACAATTTGTTTTGGCTCACAAACAGAATATGTTTTGGTGTCTTTTAATAAATTATTAGTCACTATCAGATCCTAGTCTGGGAAAACCATTATCCACTTTCAAGATATGAGCTTTCTGTCTTTGCTAGATATGAGACTTTTGGAAGCCAAGGGAAACATTTGATGCCAGATTCTGTCTTCGGATGCACATATGCAACTACCATTGACTGCTGTGGGTGTTTTCATGTGTATCCAAGGGTAGAATTTGGCCCTGGTGTGCTTATTTGCATGCCAATCCGCAGGACTGATTCAGTTTGGAGCCATTTCGTAGCTGTGCTGATTTCTGAACTCTGACAGCAAACTGAAAAGAGGAAATTTGTCAGTGAAGGGTTGAAATATTATGTACTTTTATTTTCTGTTTACTAATCTGAGACCACCAAACATATGCCTTCAATTCAGACTGGAACAGAATACTAGCTTTTAGTACTGAACACAGGACTCTTTGTTCATAGAAGCCTCCAGTTCAGTGTCTGTTTTGGGTCTCAGAATGTTGTTCAACACTGGAGAAATCAGTGGAGTTATTCTGGATTTAAACTGGCAAAAGAACTCAGAATGTGGTCCATGATTGTTTTAAATCAAAATGTTGTCAAAAGGATTTTTAGCCACAACACTCAGCTGTTTTTTTCCTCTCTTTTTTGCTCTGAGTTTACATACGTAAGTTGATATATAATGTATGCTCTGTTGTTCAGAGATTAATTACTAAACATATGGTGTTAATACAACTGCCATTTTATAGCCTTTTTAATATCTAATTATATATAAATGCTATGGAGTCCATTGTTCCATTCAAAATGTGTATATTTGCAAAATTGCACACTAATTAAGAATATGCAGACCTGCCTCTTTAATTCCCATATTTCAGAAACCTAATGATCTTACAAAAGTTTTGTTCTCAACTCTTTTTTAACTTTGAAGCAGTAAATCTGCTCCCATAGGTGCTGGAACTGGTGGTGCTGCCTCACCTGCTGGCTTGAAGTGGTTTCCATCATATACAGGGTTTACAGGTTCAATGGCTCTCAGCGCCCCCACTATACAACTTTTTCTAGAACCCCTGTCAGCTCCTCTTCTTGTCAAGAGCTGGCCAGCAGTTAAACTAGTTCTGGTGTGATGCCTGCTTTTTTTGGCACCAGACCATTCAAAAGGCATTAAAATAATGGCAGAATAGTGGAATGCAGCCCCATGTTGGGAATAATGCGGAAGCATCCTGCTCCAGCAAGAGCTCCAGGAAGTATTGTGGTTCAGAGTGTGCCTCCTGGAGCTTCTGTGGGACACCGATATATCATGCCCCGCAAAGAGGGTATAATGTGTGCTCCCCTGGGTGGTGCACCAGCTCTACTGGCTGGTTAGGGGAAGTGGAGAGGTTCATAGTTCATTTGCACTGAGTAGCAGCACCAGCACCATGGAATCCTCACACTGTGCTCTGAGCATAAGGACTCCCATTGTACCCAGCCTCTCTGTGAAGGATGCAAGAGGTGCCTTCAGCACCCACGAAGAGGCCAGGCACAGTCTGTTTTTTTGTATTTAAAAACAGTACAGCAATAAGCTGATAGCAACAGATTCCTTTCGCACCTAGAATTGGCTACCGCCATGTGAAGAAGAATAAAAAAGGAATGTCGTATCTTTAGTGTGAAGCTTATAGTGTAGCTTGTACGATCACCCAAAGATAGCCTTGCTGTGTTATATTTTTATATGACATTTCTATTACGAAATATAAATTTACACCTCCCTTTTGTCTCTTTTGTTTTCCAATGCTAGATTGGTGAATTACTGAGCACTACACACCCTGCCAACAAAGCCAGTTTAACTCTGTTTTGCCCTGAGGAAGGGGACTGGAAAAATTCAAACCTTGACAGACATAACCTTCAAGACTTCATTAACATTAAACTCAACTCAGCATCCATATTGCCTGAAATGGAAGGACTTTCTGAATTCACAGAGTATCTGTCAGAATCGGTAGAAGTGCCATCACCCTTTGACATTTTGGAACCGCCAACATCTGGAGGTTTCTTGAAGCTCTCAAAACCCTGCTGTTATATTTTCCCAGGTGGAAGAGGGGACTCTGCATTGTTTGCAGTGAATGGATTCAATATGCTCATTAATGGGGGATCTGAAAGAAAATCTTGCTTCTGGAAACTTATCCGACATTTAGACAGAGTGGATTCCATTCTGCTCACCCACATTGGGGATGATAATCTACCAGGAATCAATAGCATGCTTCAACGAAAGATAGCTGAGTTAGAAGAGGAACAGTCACAAGGTTCTACTACCAACAGTGACTGGATGAAAAATCTGATCTCACCTGATTTAGGAGTTGTATTCCTCAATGTTCCTGAAAATCTGAAAAACCCTGATCCTAATTTTAGGGTAAAAAGAAGCATAGAAGAAGCTTGTTTCACTCTCCAGTATTTAAATAAGTTGTCTATGAAACCAGAACCTCTCTTTAGAAGCATAGGAAATACCATTGATCCTATCATTCTGTTTCAAAAAATGGGAGTAGGCAAACTTGAGATGTATGTGCTCAATCCAGTCAAAAACAGCAAAGAGATGCAGTATTTTATGCAGCAGTGGACTAGTACAAGTAAAGATAAAACTGAATTACTGCTGCCAAATGGTCAGGAAGTAGATATTCCAGTATCCTATTTGACCTCAGTCTCATCACTGATCGTTTGGCATCCAGCAAATCCTGCAGAAAAAATAATCAGAGTTTTGTTTCCAGGAAACAGTACTCAATATAACATACTAGAAGGACTGGAAAAACTCAAACATTTAGATTTCCTTAAACAACCAATGGTTACACAGAAAGACCTTACTGGTAATATACCTAGCCCAGCAGTGAAACAAGCAAAGCTGAAACAGCGAACGGACAGCAAGGAAAGTCTCAAACCTGCCACAAAGACACTATCAACCAAGACTGTCAGAAAAGAATCTAAAGAAGAAGCATCTGAACCAGCAAAGCCTAGTCCTCCAGAAAAGCCTCAGAAAGTAGAAAGCAAGGAAAAGACTACAGTAAAAAAGGAAAAACCGGCAAAAGCAGAGACAAAACCTTTAGTAACAGAAAAAGATATGACAGTTAAGGAGGAGCAGCTAGTAAAATCCGAAATTGCTGAAAAACAAGCAGCAGATGTCAAACCAAAAGTTGCAAAGGAGAAGCATGTGAAAAAGGAAGTGAAAGTAAAATCTGAAGAAAAGAGAGAGGAAAAAGAAAAACCAAAGAAAGAGGTTTCTAAGAAAGAGGAGAAAACACCTACCAAGAAAGAGGAAAAACCTAAAAAGGAAGAAATCAAGAAAGAAGCGAAAAAGGAAGTGAAAAAGGAAGAGAGAAAAGAGTCTAAAAAAGAATTAAAGAAAGAAACTCCCCAAAAGGAAGCTAAAAAGGAAGCTAAAAAAGAAGAGAAAAAGGAAATTAAAAAGGAAGAAAAAGAATCCAAAAAAGACACCAAAAAGCTTCCAAAAGAAACAAAGAAAACACCTGCTCCTTCAACTGAAGCCCGAAAGCCTGTGACAAAACCTAAAGCACAAAAGAAAGAGGAACCTGTTAAAAAGGAAGCTGGGCCTGCTGGAAAACCAAAGGAAAAAGGCAAAATTAAGACAGTAAAGAAAGAGAGCAAGGTCAGTGAAACACAAGCTGCTGTGGCTGCAGTGGGAGCGGTTGCAGCAGTAGCAGCAGCTGCTGGAGTGGTAGCTAATGGAAAAGAACTTGAAGCTGAGAGATCCCTTATGTCTTCACCAGAGGATTTAACAAAAGACTTCGAAGAATTAAAGGCTGAAGAAGTAGAAATAGTAAAGGAAACAAAGCCTCAGGTAGAGTTAATAGAAGGTGAAGAGAAACTAGCTGACTCAGAACAAAAGGAAGCACGTGAAATCCAGAAAGAAAAACTAGATACTGAAGGACCTGCTGACTCTCCTGATGAAGGTATAATGACCACTGAAGCTGAGGGTGAATGTGAACAGACACCTGAAGAGCTGGAGCCTGTAGAAAAGCACAGGGTTGATGACCATGAAAAATTTGAAGATGAAGGAACTGGTTTTGAGGAATCATCCGAAGCGGGTGATTATGAAGAAAAGGCAGAGACTGAGGAAGCTGAGGAACAAGATGAAGATGAGGAAGAAAAAGCAACAGTGGGCATCACAAAACAGGATATTGGCATGGCAAGAGAAATGGGAGAGATTGAAGCTGATAAATATGCTAAAACTAAAGATAAATATGTTGAAAAGGCAGAATCTGAGGCAGGGGATGAGCGAGCTGAAGAAGACATGGAAGAGACTGTTGAAAAGGCAGAAACTGAAGAGACTGAAGAAGAAGCTGAGGACGAAGACAAAATGGAGGATGTCAGAGATGAAGAAGAGGAAACTGAAAAAGTCGAAGCTGAAGAAGATTATGTTATGGCTGTGGTAGACAAAGCTGCAGAGGCTGGTGAAGTTGAAGATAAATATGGCTTACTCATAATCACACCAGCTAAACACTCTGAACCTCAGTCCCCAGCTGTTGAACCAGCATCTTCTATCCATGATGAGACTTTACCTGGCGGTTCAGAAAGTGAAGCAACTGTTTCCGATGAAGAAAATAGAGAAGACCAACATGAGGAATTCACTGCTACTTCAGGTTATACTCAGTCTACCATTGAAATATCCAGTGAGCCAACACCAATGGATGAAATGTCAACTCCTCGGGATATCATGAGTGATGAAACGAACAACGAAGAAAGTGAATCGCCTTCTCAAGAATTTGTAAACGTTACTAAGTATGAGACATCACTGTATTCTCAAGAATATACTAGACCTAAACTCTCTCCACTTCATGATGCTTTCAATGGTTTATCTGAAGGATCAAAAACAGATGCCACAGAAGGTAAAGATTATAATGCTTCAGCTTCTACTCTCTCACCCCCTTCTTCATTAGAGGAAGACAGATTCTGCAAATCTTCCTTTCAAGAAATGTACCATCAAAGAGAAAATGAAATCAAAAGTACTGCTAAATTAGAAATCAAAGATACCTTTTCACAGGCATTTGAGGGAAAAAAGCATAGCCCAGCTAAGAGTCCAGTTCAGAGTCCATCACCTCCATCACCAGTTGCTAAAACACCACTAAGTGAACGTAGTGTGAACTTTTCTCTGACCCCAAATGAGATTAAGGCATCAGTTGAACCTGTAGTGCTCACTGCATTGCCTGATGAACATCCAGAAGTCATTGAAGAGCACTCTGTCAGCCCGGATGATAAAACATTAGAAGTGGTGTCTCCTGCACAATCTGCTGCTGGTAGTGCAGGCCACACACCTTATTATCAGTCTCCCACTGATGAAAAGTCCAGCCAACTTCCTTCTGAACTCACTGAAAAGGCAGCAGAGGCTCCAGTTAGTTTTGAATTTAGTGATGCCAAAGATGAGACTGCAAAACCCAGAATAAGCCCTATGGATGAGCCTGTGCCAGACTCAGAATCGCCTATTGAAAAAGTTCTCTCTCCTTTACGAAGTCCACCTTTGATAGGTTCAGAGTCTTCCTATGATACATTTTTGACTGCCGATATAAAGTCAACTGCCAGACTGACTGAGGGTCATTTTGAGGAGAAAAGTGAAAAAGAAGAGTCTCCTGTTCAGATAAGCCCAGTTTCTGAAGTCACCTCTGTGGATCTTTTCCAAGGACAGCAAGATGAAAAAGGTATGGCGTTTATGCCTGCTAAAGGTTTTGGTCTAGAAAAGAATATGGAGGATATTGAAGCTACCAGTTCTCAGTCTCCACTTGTTTTGGATGAAAGGAAGTTAGCAGGAGATATCTCTCCTACACAAATAGATGTTAGCCAGTTTGGATCTTTTAAAGAAGACACCAAAATGTCAATATCTGAAGGTACAATCTCTGACAAATCTGCAACTCCCGTTGATGACGTTGTAGCAGAAGACACATATTCACATATAGAAGGAGTTGCTTCTGTCTCCACAGCTTCTGTTGCTACTAGTTCATTTCCAGAGCCTACTACAGATGATGTATCTCCTTCTTTACATGCTGAGGTTGGATCACCACATTCTACAGAAGTTGATGATTCTCTTTCTGTATCTGTTGTACAAACACCGACAATTTTTCAGGAAACAGAAATGTCTCCATCTAAAGAAGAATGTCCGAGACCCATGTCAATTTCTCCACCAGATTTTTCACCTAAAACTGCAAAATCAAGAACACCAGTGCAAGAGCACAGATCTCCTGAGCAGTCAACTATGTCAGTAGAATTCAGTCAGGAGTCCCCTGAGCAGTCTTTGGCAATGGACTTTAGTAGACAATCTCCAGAACATCCCACAGGAGGCACTAGTGTACACCATATATCTGAAAATGGACCAACTGAAGTAGATTATAGTCCTTCAGAGATACAGGAACCTACTTTTTCACATAAGATATCACCTGTGGAGCAGACATGTTATACTCAAGAAAAGGATCTTTCAGAGATTATTTCAGTATCTCAGATTGAAGCTTCACCCTCAACTTCATCAGAACATACACCTTCACAGGTAGCTTCTCCACTGCAAGAGGAAACTCTCTCAGGTATCATGCCACCCAGAGATATGCCTCTGCATTCTTCATTTACCTCAGAAAAGATGCAGAGCCTAGGAGAAAAGCTTTCACCAAAGTCTGATTTATCTCCTTTAACTACAAGAGAATCCTCTCCTTTATACTCTCCTAGTTTTTCAGATTCACCTCCTGCGATCAAAGAAACAACTGCTGTTTGTCACTCACCATCACTATCACTTCATGTGTCCTCAGATAAAATATTTGGTTACCATACCTCAGTAACACATGACACAGTAGAAGACTCTCTAACAAAACATAGTCCAGAGCCTTTAGCCTCCACAGAAAAAGATGAAACCGAAAAAATCACCAGGTCATCTGAGGCTATTAGTTATTCCTGTGAGACAACTGGGAAAACCACTAGATCACCAGAGGCCATTAGTTATTCCTATGAGACAACTGGGAAAATTACTAGATCACCAGAGGCCGTTAGTTATTCCTATGAGACAACTGGGAAAACCACCAAGTCACCTGAACCTGCTCTTAGTTATTCCTATGAGGCAGCAGAGAAAACCACAAGATCACCAGAGGCCATTAGTCACTCCTATGAGACAACAGAAAAAACCATCAGGTCACCTGAAGCCATGGATTATTTTTATGAGAGAACTGGAAAAACCACCAGGTCACCTGAGGCTATTAGTTACTCCTACGAGCCACCAGAGAAAACCACCAGGTCACCTGAAGCCATGGATTATTCCTATGAGAGAACTGGGAAAACCACCAGATCACCTGAAGCTGTAGAATACTCTTATGAACCAACAGAGAAAACCTCCAGGTCACCTGAAGCTGTGGAATACTCCTATGAGAGAACTGGGAAAACCACCAGGTCACCTGAAGCTGTGGAATACTCCTATGAGAGAACTGGGAAAACCACCAGGTCACCTGAGGCTGTAAGTTATTCCTATGAGCCAACAGAGAAAACCACCAGGTCACCTGAAGTCATGGATTACTCCTTCGAGACAACTGGGAAATCAACGAGATCACCTGAGGCTGTTAGCTATGCCTATGAGACACCTGGGAAAACAACAAGGTCGCCTGAGGCTGTTAGTTACTCCTATAAGACAGATGTACATTTTGCTGCAGAAAAATCATCTCTAGCAGAAACCCGTCAAGATGTCGATTTATGCCTTGTGTCTTCCTGTGAATACAAGCATCCCAAAACTGAACTTTCACCCTCATTTATCAACCCCAATCCCCTGGAGTGGTTTGCCAGTGAAGAACAGTCTCAAGAACAAGAAAAGCCATTAACCCAGTCTGGAGGAGCCCAGCCACCGTCAGGAGGAAAACAGCAAGCACGCCAGTGTGATGAAACTCCTCCCACCTCAGTAAGCGAGTCTGCTCCATCTCAGACCGATTCAGATGTTCCCCCAGAGACTGAAGAATGCCCTTCTATTACTGCAGATGCTAACATTGACTCAGAAGATGAATCTGAAACCATTCCAACTGATAAAACAATTACATACAAACATATTGACCCTCCACCAGTCCCAATGCAAGACCGCAGTCCTTCACCCCGGCACCCAGATGTCTCAATGGTAGACCCAGAAGCTTTGCCTGTTGATCAGAATTTAGGCAAACCTTTGAAGAAGGATCTGAAAGAAAAGACCAAAACTAAAAAGCTGGGTACGAAGACCAAGTCTTCCTCACCTGCCAAAAAAAGTGATGGGAAATCAAAGCAGGTGGCTTCACCAAAGCCAGGTGGCTTAAAGGAATCTTTAGACAAAGTTTCCAGAACAGCTTCTCCAAAGAAAAAAGAGTCTGTGGAGAAAGCAGCGAAAAATATCTCTATTCCAGAAGTAAAATCTTCCCGTGTTGAGGAAAAAGATAAGGAGGCCAAGAATGCAACAAATTCCACAACATCGAAGTCTGCAAAGATTGCAACTTCAGGTAAGGAAAGATCAGGACCTGTGTGTATCACGAAAAGATGTGGGGCCAGATTCTCAGCTGGTATAATTGAGCTATGTTGATATTTCATCAGCTGATCATCTGGCCTGCGAGGTGTGCCTGAGGAAAATCCATGTTTATTAAAAATCTATAGTATAAGGTTTCACATTTAAATTAATTAAATTCACTGAATCAACTCTTTAATCTGGAAAAAGCCAGTAATTATTTAGATGTGTTAATTTGCTCAGATATCAAACAATTAGCGAGGCAGTGTATGAAATATAGAGTGCAATTATTATTTGTCCAATTTGTTAGCCAGCTGGCTAAGCTGAAAATTGCTATGTGAAAAGTTAAATGAATAGTAAGCAACTATTCTCTTCATTATAAACATAATTTAGACATAAAATTGTAAAGTGAACAAGCCCCATTAATTAGTTTGAGTTGTGTGAGTGTAATAGGAAATTAGATGTGTTTTACTGTTCCAGTGCATTATTCCTTATTAAGTATTCAGAAGACAGGCAGTTATCTAAGCATGCACTTCCATGAAGTCTGGCTACATTCTGATGGTGGTGGTTAACTAAACATATAGGGAGATCATTTCCTACAGACGTTCCTGTTCATTCAACGAAACTGTAAATCTCATTTACAGGGTAGATAGTTGAAAAGGCACAGTTCCCCTGCAGGGCTTACCCTGAGGGCTTGTTGAACTAAAGGATAATCTGTAATACAATGCACCCTATCCTGCAGCTAGGAGCCTGCAGAATCTGATAGAAAATACTGTGGTTTTCAGTTGCGGTACAAAAATTATGGTTAAAACAGAAATATCTCTGTATAGATATAGATAAAATCTAAAAATTCAGATATTGATCAATTTGTTGTATGTGGGATTTGATTTGTTTTATGGGTTAAGTAATTTTTTCCTGGCTTGATCATGAATCCACGCTTAACTTTATATTACTTGATTACATTAAAAAAAACAAATCTTGAGTGGCTTATTATTATCACAACAGAAATAGAATGTATTTCTACTAGACTATGTATTTCATCCCATATAGAGAAATTGCACCTTTTGAGCAAAATCTGTGCTATCTCAGGCAGAGAGAGGAGGGTATAGAAAACCTTTTCCTTCCCTAGTTCACCTGTGCAGAAGCTGCAGGACGAGGATATGTTCCTAGCAAACTGGCACTCCACCATCTCTAGCCTCCCTATGCGTATGCTGCTGCACTATTCTTGGCCTTCCAATGCAGAAGAATAGTTGGTACATTCTTTCTGGAGCTGCACTAAGATGTAGTCCATAGCACATTTCATTCCCCACTGAACTACTGCCTGGTGTCAAGTATATTCTGAGAACAAAAAAAATCTGCAGTGCATGTTGTAGTGCTGGAACAGAAACTATATATTTTTTATAACATAAGATTATGAAATATGCAACTGCTACTGGAGTATTGTGTCCAATTCTGATGTCCGCACTTCAAGAAGGATGCTGAAAAATTGGAGTGGATTCAGAGAAGAGGCATGAGTGATTAAAGAATTTGAAAACATACTTTATATTGAAAGACTCAAGGGGCTCAATCTGCTCATTTTAACAAAGAGATGGTTAAGGGGTGACTTGATCACAGGCTATGAGCGCCTACATGGGGAACAGAAATTTATTAACAGAAAGCTCTTTAGTCTAGCAGACAAAGGTATGACAAGATCCAATGGCTGTAAGCTGAGGTTACACAAATTTAGACTAGAAATAAGTTACAATTTTGTAACAATGAGGATAATTAGCCTTGGGAACAATTTACCAAGGGTTGTGGTAGATTCTCCCTTACTGGAAATTTTAAAATCAAGTTTGGATGCTTTTCTAAAAATTGTGCTCTAGTTCCAATGACAGCTATTGGACTTGAAGCAGAAATTAATTCAGGGAAATACTATGGCCTGTGTTCAGTAGGAGGTCAGGCTAGATGTTCACAGTGGGCCTCTCTGGCTTTAAAAATCTGTGAATTCATGAAAAATATATTGCATAGGTTACTTAGTACTTTAACTGCACTCTTTGTAACACACTGAGATTAATAGAACAGGTTTTGTTATTGATCAAGTTATGATTCCAGCTCATGCCATTATCCTGTGCATGATAATAACAGTGTCTTTTATAATATTATTTTTGAAATGTCAAGAATTTACACTTTTTTTTTTCCAATTAAAACCCTCTTTTTGGGACACATGCATCCTAAGACTTGGTAACAAAATGAAGCTTTCCCCAAACTTGGTAGTATAGGGCCAGATTTTCAAAAGTAGGCATACTTAATTGCATCTACCTAACCTATGTGCATAAACGTTCAGTTGGGTAGCACAGATTAGATGTTTGCACATGCATGTAGTTATTTAGACATGTAACTTGCCCCATCCACACAAGAGCTGATTTCTGAGAATCTAAACCTCCATCAAATTTTTGTGTACATTAAGTGTTGGGTGCTCAAATGTATGGGCACAATTGTACATGCTGTCTTTGAAAATTAATCCTATATTTTGCATACTATTGCAGGAATTTAGAAAAGATTACTTTTGACATGTGTATATGCCAACTGTGATCACTCCTTTCATAAGTCAGGAGAATATAATAAGGCTGGGCTGAGTTAGAATAAAGAAATGAAAACTAGAGGAAAATCTGTGCAGTTTCCTTCCCTCCACTCTCCATATAAAATAGTCTTTGAGAGGAGATGCTGTCCTTCATACTAACAATCCACTCCAGTAGGCAACCCTTGGTCTTAAGTGACTGCTTTAAAATGTCCCTGTGAGGTTTCGAGTACAAAGTAGTTCAGTGTTTTTAAAGACTATCTTTACTGTACAGCTGATAATTTTTTTCTGGTTCCTTTGGGTCTTCTCTTGGGAAGGTTTCAGTGTGCTCCAAGTTCCTCCCTCCCGTTCTTCTAGCTTTGCGTACATATAGTAGGCTCCTGCAAGATACTCCTAGGATATCAACAGTTATCTCCCATCCTTGTCATAATGATGCCTCAAGAGTCCCAAGACAGGTTCTAAACCTGCATACTATAACTGAGAGCCAAACGCTGTTTTTTTTCACACTCAGATAGTCCCATTGAAGTAAATGGGACAGTTTGCATGAGTAAAGCAAGCAGGATTGGCCTTGAGTTACGACACTGATGTCTTGAAAAGAAAGTGTCAGAGAGTTGTGTTATCAAGCATGCAAGAGAATTCCAAGGTCCTGTAGCTATTATTGTTCGAGAAAAAATAATCTCATTAATTGAATGGTAATTCAGTAATCACAGTGACTGGATAATTCTTGAATACTTAATAATGATCATTCTTGAATACAGTTCAAATGATTGCCCATACCGGTAATGAATTTTTGTTGTATCAGTAGCTAGTTAAGTTTATTCTGTTCTTTTTCTCCCAATAAAACATATATGGGATATAACCAAATTAGAATATGCTATTAGATATAATAGGATAACAACATAAGTGCATCAGAGTGCACAGGAATACAGCAATGGCTGTGTGACGCAGGTACTAACTCTAATCCTCTCAAAAAAGAATGTCACCTTTAATGGTATAGTGGTAGCTAATAAATGTTTGTTTTCACCAATAAATGACAGGCTTTTGTTTTTATTTTAAAAGGACCTGGAAATAGTAAACCAGCAAAATCCACAGCTGTGCCTCCAGGACCTCCAGTGTACTTGGACCTGGTATATATTCCCAACCACAGTAATAGCAAGAATGTCGATGTAGAGTTTTTCAAGAGAGTGAGGTCATCCTACTACGTGGTGAGTGGGAATGATCCTGCAGCTGAAGAACCAAGCAGGGCTGTTCTGGACTCCCTACTGGAGGGCAAGGCTCAGTGGGGAAGTAACATGCAGGTAGGCTCTCTAACAATATTTCTGTTTTGTGAATTAAAATCCTTATGAAAAGCAACCACAGGAAGCAAGAGAAGCTACTAAGCTATGGCTCTTGTTTAGAAGAGAGCCCTTTGGTGTACTATAGATGAACACTCCCTCATTTCTCTTTTAATAAGAGCGACATATGTGAGGATCAGGTTTTGGAATCCTCCTAGCCTAGAGGCATGATGAAAGGTACGTGATCTTAGCAACAAGAGCAGGCTCAAGGGATTTGGCCAATTTGAGCACCTAAACGTGGAGCTAGGTTCTTTAACACAGACACCCACATTTTTAAAAATTAGGAGATACCGTGCTAATATTAGATCCGTTCAGAAATCAACTGCGGCATGCTGTGTGTATGTGCGCTGCAGATTTTTCAAGGTACGTAATGGAACAACGCTTGCATTAGTATCTGGTCCATAAAAACAGTTAGCTAACTCAATTAATTAAAATCCATTTGCTACCTAATGTTATGTCATATTCTGTGGTATCTTCAGGTGTCCTTTGTGCAGAGTAGAATATAATTTATTCATCTTCAGCTTTGGTATTTTCCATTTAGCAGCAGCATGGTGACGTGTAATACAGTAGTGCCTCAGAGTTATGGCCACCAGTGTTATGAAATGAACGGTCAACCACACACCTCATGGGGAACCAATCAGGCTGCAGCACACGCACACGTACAGTACTGCGTTAAACGTAAATGGGAAAGCATTTTTCTTTTGCATGGTAAAGTTTCAAAGCTGTATTAAGTCAATGGTCAATTGCAAACTTTTGAAAGAACAACCATAATGTGTTGTTCAGAGTTACAAACAACCTCCATTCCTGATGTGTTTGTAACTCTGAGGTTCTACTGTGTAAAAGGTGTTTGAAGAGCCATGTCAATGATGCAAGAATTCCCTGAAAGACTAACAAACAAACTGTCCTCTCTTGTAAAATTTTCCACAATAGCTGACATAATAAACGTTCAGTTGCAACTATTATGTTAATAACATAAGTTATTATGTTCACAATAAGCCTAAATAGATTTATTTATTTATTTATTTATTTATTTATTTATACCAATTCCTTGTAATTGAGTAGCACAGTTTAGATAAAAGTAGTTTTATTTTTCTTTGTCCAGTTAATTTGATGTCCATATTCCTTGCCATAATGATTATTTCTAGTGTGGTTGATATGGCTATATCCAGTTCGTTCGTTCTTTCTTTCTTTCTTTCAGTATCGACTCATTTTCTGAGTGCCAAATCTGTGTCACCAAAATAAATATCAGAGAGGACAGGGACCTTTTTGTGCTCTTCATGTGGGGAAAAACGTTGAGGAATAGTGATCATACATTTGGCAGCTCAAATTAATAAATAATTAAACACAGTTTTATTAAAATGTTGCCCCCAACACCATCCTGTTAAACTTCTCCTTTCCTACAGAAAAGGAGAGTCTTTCCAGCTTTTTTATAAAACAGGAACTCAACATTATTTAATGGAATTCACTCAGCATATCTGGAAATCTGTGAAGAGAAGGATAAATTTTAAGGAACAAGATTGTACTCATTGGAACTATTATTAATATTAGTCATGTTTATTGCAATATTGCCTAAAGGGCCAATCAAAATGGGGCCCCGTTGTGCTAGGTGCTGTACAGATATTGAGTAGTAGATGGTCCCTACCCCGAACCCTACCCGGAAGAGCTTACTGTGTAAATAGAGAAGATAGACACTGGGTGATGGAAGGGGTTTAATATACAAGCAGCGGGAACAATGTGATGGCCAAAAAGGTCATGTTCGTTTATTAGTTCCATGGGTACTAACAGTTTTTGTTTAGTTTTTTAGGGTGGGTTTACTTAGAAGGGTATCAGCTAAATGGAAAGCAAAAGGAAAGGGAGGGGGCAGAGCAGGGGAGAAAAGGGATAGGTATGGAGTGAAGCTGAGGGGAAGACTGTGAAGGAGAGATCTGGAGCAAACTGCACAAGGCAGAGAAAGTACAAAACTGTAGAAAGTTCTCAGAATGGCCAAATGCCCAAAGGTCCCTGCTTTGGCTGCTTCCGCCCGTACTAGCTGGAGTCTCTGTCTGGCTCCACTCTGCAGTTTTCTCCTAAGGTCACATGGGGAGTTGGGGGACAGAAGGGGAGGTACCACCTAATCCTAGTGCCCCCTTAGTAAGGGTGTCTCCCCTATATATAGTTCTGGGTCCTTCAGAGCACTGGAGAGAGGGATGGCTTTGGCTGGTCCCCATTTGACACCCATCCTGTCCCAATGCAGCAATCTCTGCTTTGGCTGCTTCTGCCCTGCCCCTGCTTGCTGGAGTCAGTGGCTGCTGGCTGCACTCTGCAGTTTTTTCCCAAATAGTCTAGCATAGGAACAGTTACTTTTAGAAATATCTGTATTAAACTTGAGTTGGTTTTTCTGTCTTTTTCCAGGAATTATTTGTTGTGTATATATAAAAGCTATCGGAATTTAGTATTGTATAGTATTACTGTATGTGCACAAATTGTGAAGTAGAAAGGATTTTGAAAATTGTCTTATCATAATAATAATACATTTCAAAATGCCCTAATCGTACTCATTGCAAGATCTGTACCTAAGGGGATCCTAGCTATTGAAGCTGTGAATGCTGCATGAATTTATGTTGCAAACATGTAATCCTAGGGCACCTCATTTGCCCTTCAGACATAATAAATAAGACTAAACATGATGCCTTAGTCCCACAAGGTACCTCTGCAGTCTACAGAATTGTAGTGTGATGGCTGTCATTTTGGCCAACACATCAGGGTTTGAAGTTAGGGACCTTCTGAGGTAAAAGCAGGAGCTGCTACAGTTTGAGTTAAAAACACAAAGCTTCTGTGGCTGGGACTGTAGCTACTCATATCCTCTGTGTATCAACACAGAAGGGGACATGGAACACGCTCACCAGTGGGTTACAGCAGCACTGTAAGTGCAATCTTTAGTTAGTTTTTTTCATTTAGAGACCATTGATTTAGCTTCCATGCAAAGCAATACCTTGCATATTCAGGCTTTTCTTTTGGTAAATGATTTCTTTGCCGCTATTATATCCTGCATATTTTCTTGCTTGAAATACCCATTAGCTTCCAAAAGGAAAATCTACGTGTTGACTGTGACTTTAGCATCAAGACTCTGTTTTCACATCAGTTGTTTCTTCTGTCCATTCCTAAAGAGTTTTCCTATTCCATATTGTAGGTGACCTTAATCCCAACCCATGATTCAGAAGTGATGAGGGACTGGTATCAAGAGACTCATGAGAAACAGCAGGACCTCAACATCATGGTTTTGGCAAGCAGCAGCACTGTTGTTATGCAAGATGAATCTTTCCCTGCATGCAAGATTGAACTGTAGAAACAAGGCCATACACTACAACATTAAACTTTACTTCCTGAAATTCTTCAGTTTGAAAATACCTTTTCTAAAAATTCAACCCATCTAATTCAACTGCTGAACTATATACCTGCCAAATGCTATACTGTGTCACGGTGATGCAAATCACTAATATTTTTCAGTCTTTGCTGATTGCTAAGGGAAATAACAGTATTCCCAAAGTAGGGTTCAGATTACTGCAAAATTACAGATCCTGGTTCATCTCTGCTGAACATTTGGAAACCATGCACTAGCAAACCCAACTGACTTCTGCCAGGTAGAGGCATTTGACCTCGAAAGAAACACAAAGAGAGAGAGAAATAGAGAGAGGGGTAGGAGGAGAAAGTATAAATAATTGGGTCTGCATTAGTCTCACGGCGATAGATGTATTGCTTACTGCAGTCTGCTTATGCTCTCACGTGAAAAGAAAGTTTTAAATTTGTATCAGTCTGAGTTATAGGAAAGGGGGCCTTAGTTTACAAAATTATGTGAGCTAATAATAAAAGGAAACTAAATGTGGCTTTGAAGGGACATAAGATCTAAACACTCATTAGCCATTAACTAATTTGAACGCTGCATACGGACGTAACATAATTATCATACACTAAATATGCAAGTAGTTTGAACCCCATTCAGAACTCTAAAACTTTTCTTTTAACATGCAAATATGTTGGTCTAAGGCATGCTCCCAGTGAATATCTGTTTAGTCCACTCAAAATTGACAAACCTGCATGCTTAAACACTCAAGTCAACAGCCAATTTACTGAAGCAAAATACCAAAGCAGTTGGGGAGTACATACAGTAGACAAATTGCCTTAGAAAGTGACTTGAATGTACAAAGATACTTAATGCACTTATTTTTTAATGTGAGACAGCAAGTTTATAAAACATCTGTTTAGGATTATAGTTACACCAGTAAAGAAGTGTGAGTGTGCATGTGTGGTACTAGAAGCCTATCTGATTGGTCAAACAGCTTGGTACTATGAATTATGTATGTTGGCTGAACACTTCATTGGTAACACCTGGACAGCTCAACAAAACAAGACAAGCATTTTTGCAAGCTGCTTTTGTACTGCGGAAGCAAGATTGAAGTGGTGTCCAGTATCAGAAATGCAAAACTTAGTGAAACACAGTATATTGAAAAAGGTTCTCAGCGAGTCTGTACAGTATTTTACTTTCCTTTGTCTTACGTTATTTTATTTGTTAATTTAAGAGTGAATATGGGAACAAATGTACAGAGAATTTTTTTTAGCTCTGTGTGAACTTTTAATAGATGACTTTTTAACAAAATTTTTTGTTTACAGGAAAATGCAAAGAAAAAAATTTCAGGTGAAGGCCTTTTTTTTAGTAGTTTTGTAAGAAATACATAATGTTGTTTGAGGTTCTGGTGAGAATGAAGTATGATATTGCAGTAACATATTTATTGAAAACATTTAACTGCCAAGAATTTTTGGGGAAAACCCTTAATGATTAAATTCATCTATTAGCGCTCACAAAAAATAGGAGTTGAAATGCCAGTTGACTGCTCTTTACAAAGTGGTAGTTAGACTCACAATTCTCCCAAGATCTTTAAAAAGATTGAAAAAGCAATGATTACCTTAAATAAGCCAAGCAGGTTTTTTTTTTTTTTGGGGGGGGGGGGGGGTTGGTTTTCTTTGTATGTGTGTGTTTTTGATTTTTCTGTAAAGTGTTCCCAGTGTCTACAGATCATTTCCAAAAGTAAAAACATACAGATCAGTTCCACTATTAAAGAGAGTTTGGACTCTTAAGTCTTGGAAGTTTTACCACTACAGAAAATATTGTTACATTTCAGTTTGTAGACTTGTACATCAGAATTTAAATAAGGTAAAGGCCTCCTAACTGGAGATTTGTGCTGGTCTGTACAATTCATCTTTATGGTAGGCTTTGAGTTCCACTAGGTAGTGAACAATGACCTCATTTTATTTTCTTTACGTATTACGTATTTTAAATGTTAACATTGTTAGTTTATTTTTGTTCGGTAGGTGTGTGTTTGCACTGCTAATTTTTATGTTTTGTGTTTTTTATATTACTTCAGAGCCCTTTAAATCTGGGCCCTTGTAGCCCATTTAATGCTGTGAATTACTGTTTGTCAAATGTGGGTGGGGGTTGTTTTAATATTTTTGTTGGATATCATTAGCAATGCTATTTTATTTATTGGTCTACCTTTTAGATCCTTGAAAATAACTCAGAATGATTTTGATACAAAAGACAAAGGGAAATGTATTGTGAAAACAAGCGGAATTTGCTGAGCTCATAATCATTTACTTAACATTTATTTTGTCTACAAAGTGAAAGGCAAAATATTTTATTAGATAGCTGATTTGGTAGAATAGTTGTATTATTTCTACTACAATTCTTTCTGATTTATCTACTCTCTCATGTCAGTTAGATTTCAGACTTTTTGGCTTCGGGGAGCAAATTCCAGACTCTCCCAAAACTGGAAGTAGTTTGTTTCTCCACTTTGATAGAAAATCTAATTAACAATGAGCAATGATCTCGAGACTAATCTTATACCAATGTAAATCAGGAGTAGCTTCATTGAAATTGCAGGTAAATTAGTATAAATTAAATCAGAAACAAGCTTCAAATCTCCAGCGCCCCAAGTAAATTTGTAACAGCTCAAATAATTGTTTTACTTAAAATAAGCCAGTTACAGCCAATCTTAAACTGTACTTTGATTTTTTTTGCTGCTACAGAAAAAGTCAGCTGTTTTGACTCAGCTGACATTGTTCCTATGAGATATTGTAATACTTGTTCCATCCACTGTTCTAAATGACAGCCAAGCCTGAGTGTTATTAACTTCCCAATTAGCTCCTCTTGCCCTTAATGCCTTTCCTGCCTGTGTAGCTAATCTAATTGTGCTAGTCATAGTCATACACAATTAGTTTAGTAACAGTCATCAAAATGTACCATGAACGTTAATGGTGAGCGCTGTTGATCAGCACAGATTTCTAGGAGCATGGTTTGATACTGATTACTCGAATTATAAAGATTCAATATTTGAGTGTAAAGAACACTCTACTTAAATGATGTTGTTACCCATGACAACATTCCCAATCATGACCTTTATGGTAGTACTGCACTGCTGAATAAAATTCAATGAAGAGTTAACATTGGAGATCACATCCATTTCCAAACCTAAACAGATCCCCTTGCATGCCTTCTCAAAGTCTTGTGCTGGGGCTGACTACATTGTCTCTTTCCTTTAATTCCATCTCCTGTAGAGTTCACTCTGGTGAATGGATCCAACTGTGTATATGGGGTTTTTTTAACTGTCTATAGTAGCTTATATGGTTTAGGAGCCTTCCCGTACTCATTTGCTAAGATCTAGTAGTTTTGTTAATGGAATTTTCCACCCTTCCCAGTGCAAGAAATTCAGCTGTAAGGAACTATTACTGTGCATTTTTGAAATTTCTGTCATATGCCTCTTTATTCATCTGTCACCGGAGGTTCTTGCTCAGTGATAACATTTTGAGAGAAATGGTAATTTTTTTGGTCTGGATTTATTAGAAAAGGAAAAACTATAATGGTTACACTGAAAGAAACTGTAAGCTTTCATCTTTTCACTTAATAATTGAACAAAAACACAAAGCAACCTAGTGATAAGCATTTCTTTGAATGCAATTCTGTTATTCACCTGATTTAAAATGTTTGATATTTAAAAAAAATCTGTTTGTTGTGACTTTACAAAAAAAAAATCAAATAACTAAATAAAAAGGCCGCATAAAAATATTGAAAAGAAAGGAAAAAAGGGAAAGAAAAAAAAAAGCTTCTCTGCACTTAACTAGCTAGGCGCTCCAGATGGCAGGAGCTATCCATAAAATTCATTCAAGACTGGGCTGTAATCACAACATTAGAAGAGCAATTATGAAGTACAATATGCTTTCACATGTTTGCATGCAGCCATGTATCTTCCAAACTATGGAAAGAAACAGTCTTGTTGCCAGCTGAGAAGCACCTCACACACTCCTCTCTCTTGTTCTGAATGGTGTTTGTGTCAGTCTGCAGCTGTGTATGGTAATATGTCTTATAATCCTGCATCACTTCTATTCTATCCAGTCATATCTAATGTAGAAAAATAGTTTCCAGTGAAAGTAATATGTAGTGCTTTTATGATATTTGTGTGCAATATCCCCTCTTCCATTGAGGATATTTGATGTAAAGGAAACAAACTCAGTTCCACAATAAAATACAAAAGTAATGAAGTAGTGTTGGTATGTTTCTTGTCTTTGTGTTGTAAGTGTGAATTTATGAATTTGCCAGGCTGCCTGTTAGATTTTAAAGCCAAAAATCTAACAAACCTGATGTATAATTATTTCCATTTTACAGATGGGGAAATTGAGGCAGAGTGAAGTGACTTGCCCAAGATCACCCCACAGGCCAGTGATGGAGATGAGAAGAGACTCGAGGTCTCTTACGTCCCAGTCCAGTGCCCTATCTACTAAGCCACATTAGATCTATAAAAAAACTATACATTAGAATTCAATATTTTATTGAGTCCAGGGAGTGTTAGCTTACTAGTTTAATGCTGGGTTCTTTTCAGCTCAACTTTTAACTTAAACAGTATTTCTCAAATAGGACACTTGCTTATTCTTAACCAACCAACAATTTGTTAATTCATCCAGAACCATGTTAATGTATAACCAACAGTTCACCACTCAAATACAGACACAACCAATTGTGTGTACTACATAAACAATACAGTCTTGCAAGCAGTTGTAACAGACGACAGTTGAGACTCAGCAGCTATATCAAGGAACAATGCAAATTACCAAGATTTCTTACTACATTTACTAACAATCATCAATTCTTTAATACTAACACATTTATCACAGTTCCACGGGTGCACTTATCTTTAAGGCACATTGTTACTTCTCTTTGACTAAACTGGTCCGAAAGGGACAAGTTTAAAATTCAATTGCTTCAAGTTATTGTTTTCAAGCTCTCTTAGAATCTAAAGTATGGTTACTTGAGGTCTCACTAGAGTGTAAACTCAGCAACATAACCTACACTTATTTATGTTAAAAGAATAGAAGGGGACATACAATCTTGGGAATGAAATCTCACCACTTCTTCATGTTATCCTCTTAACCCTGGAAAGGTGGAGATTCCTTCCACACAGCTGGTCTTGGCATCGGTCACACTTGGGATTCTGCAGCTTCTTGTGTTGGGTTGACTCAACTCCCTTGAGCACATGGTGACCTCAGTTTGTATATCTTAGTTTCAGGGCTCATAGGAGAGGGCCACCTTCTGATTCCTATTGGACATGTGCCAAGTGGGCCCCAGATTTACCCTCTCCTACTTTCTTTGCTGCTTACATTAGCATCTCGAAGATGGCATTGGTTTATAACAAATTTCCTTAATCCTTATTGGAGGCTTTTTTAAGTTTGATTCATTTCAAGGATTGCATTTCATTATTTGCCCCTACTATCAATTGGGATTCCCTCTCCCCCCCAGCAATTTCTGTTAATATCCCAAAGTTATACCCTGGTTTATATCTTTAAATATTTATCCTTCCTTGTGCCTCACAATTCCTATTACTGCTAGAATGCAACAATTATTTACAATGAAAACCAGCAAAATCCTTAGAATCTAAATTTGGAGGACACATTCCGTACATTCTTTGATTATACTAAGCATTGCACATTGTTTAGAACTTAAAAAAGAATGAGACATTTTCCACATATAGAAGTATATAGATCTGACTCACAAGGCAAACAAGTGTGCAGATTCTAATTAGGGGTGAAGAACCGATTATTCATGGTATATTTGATTTACAAGAAACAGTGTATAATTTATAATTTGGTGCGAAAATGTGGCTTGGATTTCTTGGGGTAACAGTTTGCCCAATTTGACCTTCAATCTTACAGGCACATTTCTAGTTTGTTTAACTTGCAATTTACCCATCCATCTCTTCTTGATCCACTCAATGTGCAATGGGCCACTTGCAGAGAAAAGTGGAATATGACTCTTGTTCGGTAACTTGGGAGTTTTTTGGCTAGGTTGGGAGGAAGAAAAAGGTTTATACATATGCAGATAATGAAAGGATCTTGCCTAGCTGATGATGCCCCCATTTAGCCGTTTTCGTTTCTATAGTTGGGCAGGGGAATGCACAACCTTGGCTGATCTGTGACTCCTTAGACAAAAAGAAAAGGAGGACTTGGGGCACCTTAGAGACTAACCAATTTATTTGAGCATGAGCTTTCGTGAGCTACAGCTGTAGCTCACGAAAGCTTATGCTCAAATAAATTGGTTAGTTTCTAAGGTGCCCCAAGTCCTCCTTTTCTTTTTGCGAATACAGACTAACACGGCTGCTACTCTGAAACCTGTCCTTAGACAAAGTGACTCATGTGCTGTGAACTATTTTCCTGTTGTTTTCATAGGAGGATCCTATTTTGGGCTAAACAGGTGGGATAGCTTTTCTAATTTTTGAAGGCCAGAAGGCATCATTAGTTATTAACCATTCAAGGCATAGCAGTCCCATACAGCATACATCTGTATTTGTAAGTTTTCCCTTTTCTTGAATCACACTCATCCAGTACATGGGTTTGTTGTCAACATATGGGTGTCAGTGTTTGAATTTTAGATAAGTTTGTTCCTTTTACATATTAAAAAAATGAGAATCTTATCTCCATTTAGAAATCAAAAAATATATAACAGATGTTACTTTTATACTGAACTATCAAACCGTTCTACATTATATTATAGTGTGTTTTTTCTTGCTTCCATTGTAATCCAGGAGAGTTTTCCAATATTGGGTACAGCATATGATAAAATACTGCATATTTAGGAAATACATTTTAAAATTACTGTTATCAGATGGCAAATTATGATATATCCGTTTTAGCTCTTCCTGGTTTGAAAAGAGGTGATCTTTTCAAAACCAGTTAGTTGTCTCCTAGACCAACAAAATACAGTGTTTTCAAATCCCGATGATAACTAAATTGATTGTTCAGAAGTCTCATTGAGAACGAATGGCATCAATTACAATGACATTTTTGGGGAAACTAGAGCTCAAGATGAAAGACAGGATTTCAGAAGAATCAATTTTATTTTTTCTGGCTCAATCTTATAAATGGTTGAATGGTTCTCAACACCCAGGAGCATCAGGCCCTCCACTTTTATAATACGTTTGCATTTCGCATGTGTGGTTTGCTATTGCAGTATGGAGTTCTATTTTTTTTTATGCAATTTTTTTATTTATGCAATTTTTCTATTGCATAAATAATAGCGAAGGGGGATAAGGTAACCCTCTGCTTATTTGAAGGGTGTTTCACCACAGATGGAGTGGTAGAAAGGGTGGGTAAGGTAAGTAGAAGTAATGGGCTGAAATGAATGAAAACTAAGGCTGAACATAAAGAAAATGTTCTTGATGGAGAGATCTATCAGACTGATAGTCTCCTATAGGAAGAAGTGGAAGCTCCATTGCTTGAGACATTTAAACAAGATAAGACAAAGCTCTAGATTAGAAAATACACTATAGGGAACAATCCTCACTCTCAGGGGGATGCACTTGGTGTCCTAACAGGTCTTTTCTGTCTCTAACTTCTATGATTTCACCAATAAGCTATTATGTTCATAAAATATACAAATACATTTTCTGTAGCATGAGCTGGCTTGAGCATGGCAGCGTGAGAGCAAAATGAAGACAACAGAAGGAAAGTCAAATAATACAAATCTTGAACTTGAACCTCCAGAATGATATATGTTCTTAGACCTATAGAAGTTTTTTCATGTTACTGAGGCGGACAAGCCTGATGTTAACACATGGACACTGAAGAAGATGCAGGCCAAATTCAGTTCCACTGGTGTAAATCCAAAATAACAGCACTGATTAAAGTGGCATTACTCTGGATTTATACTGGTGTAACTGAGACTAACATTTGACCCAGAGTGTTTTGCTTGGTGATGCCTGCGGTGAATCCATTTTCCACCCCGCTGCAGACCTCATGTTGTGTTTCATAGATTATAAAGCAGCTTTTACATTTTTACTGATGTTAACTAACAAATTTCTCTTGGTTGTAAAGTATTTTAGAATGCCATTGAATAGTAATAGACTGGGGTTTTCATCTCCATCAACGATCTCTTGGGTGCAGCTGAAATGGGGAAACATTTGTGGCTTCCCAATCCTGCAGCCAGCCCAGGGCCAGTGTGGCTACTACAGTTTAGAGGGGTCCTAATCTATCTCCAGTTGTCTTTGCCCCTTAAGGGGGGGATGATAAGTGCCACATGCTCTCTCCAAGGGAACGTCCTACATCGAAGGTTATGGGGGGAAGCAGCATAGAAGTCGTCCATATGCGTTCTAGGCCAGCCAGAGACTACCCCAAGTCAAGAGTTTCCCGAGGCTGTAAAATTTCAACTTATTGTCATAGGTAGCTATAGGGATAAGGGGCCTGTTTTCATTCTGTTACCACACCATACACACTCCCGAAAAGAGCTAAATTCAAGCGCTATGCCACGCAGGAGCCTGCTGATAACAGCCTGGCTGCTGATGCACAAACATGGAAAGAAACAAGGCAAAGCTATACAATGAGGCCTGCCTCGAAACAGCATGGGAAGCATATTTTAAAGATTCAGCGGCAAGCCTGGTTATTTTGTTGTCTTTCTGCTTTAGCTCAGCAAACGGTTAAGGAGTGGGTAAAACTCAGTAGTATATACAATACTGGATTCTAGTTTTTTCTAGTCCTAAGGAAAATATTTTTGATGTGGCCCAGGATTGCTTGAGCCTCCCTTAATGGGGCAAAGCCTCCTCCAGTCTGCCCCTTTGAGAAATACTGCCACAGAAAGAGAGACATTTTGTTATTGGTGAGAATCATAGTCCCACCTTAGCCCCTCTTCTGCATCTCAGCAAAGCTATTCTGCAGCTCAGCAGGCAGTTATACTGTATTTTACTACATGAGTAGCTTCCATAGTCTTCCTTCATGGTGATGATCTTTGGCCATATTCTGCCCTCAAATTCCTAACTCCAACTCCCCTGGAGTATGGCTTCCTTAGTGAAAAGCAGCCCCTAACCTCTACCCTAAACATCTGCCTCCATTTTGATATACACATTTTTCTCAAAACAAAAAGCTGCTGAATATCTGCTAAGAAAAAGCTGAACGCCCTCAACTTGCCTTGGTTCACTGGAAACTTTTGACTGCAATGGGAAAGCAGAGCACTAGGCATCTCGTAAGATCTGAACAGATCTTGGCTTCAGCATTTTAAG